CTGGGACTACAGGCACACCACCATGCCCAGCCCATTTTGAAATTTTTTGGTACAAAGGGAGTCTTGCCATGTTGCTCAGGCTGGTCTTAACTCCTGGGCTCAAGCGATCTTCCCACCTCAGCCTCTCAAAGTGCTGGGATTACAGGCATGAGCCACCGCACCCGGCAATCCTTTCTCTTGAACATCTGTAGAAAGAACTGATTCCCCACTGGCATCATGAAAGTGAACCAGTTAATGTTGAAGAAGCTGCAGGATTAATGGCTTAGTTGTAATGCAGTGGTGATGCATCTAATTCCCTCAAAAAGATCAATAAATTAAAGGTTTTCTACAATTTTAAAAAATCCCCTAAGCCTTGGACCCACAATGTTATGGAAACAGGGTTAGACGAAACAGTTTCAACAACAAGCAGCTGACATCATCCCTGGTATTCTCCTGTGAGGCCAGCTGCAAGCGGTTATCACTACAGGGGAGGAAAACCGAGACCTGAAGGAGGCAGACGGGGACCTGCGAAAGGAACACTGTAAAACACGTTTGCCAGGTGACCCCTAGGCAGCCTCACTAGTCGGTGGGTGCAGACAGTTAACTATGCAGTTTGCACCATTCTAGAACCAACTGCCATGGCAACCCTCTTCAATGGGTCACTGTGGGAACCTTGGGCAACTTCAGTCAGGCTGGGACAAGGCAAGATTCTCTAATGACAGGGACATTCCTCAGCGGCGCACAGTCCTGAAGGCTGTACAGCTAGGTCTGAACCTGTCCACGAGTGCCTTTTGTGAGCTAGGTGGGTTGCCCTGTTGAGCTGCTTTTTAGAAGCCTTCATCCATCAAGGCAGGCCAGGGGGCAAGCTGCCTCTGGGGCGTCGCCACCTTGGATCCTGGTATCCACCCATCCTGCCTGCAAGGCCCTCATAACTTGCCCTCGGCCACCCCCGGCAGCCCTGCCTCTAGTAACAATTTTTGTCTTAAAGTCTGTCTTGTCTGAGAAGATCCCACTCTCCTCTGGTCACTGCTTGCAAGGAATATCTTTTTTTATTGTTTTGAGATGGAGTTTTGCTCTTGTTGCCCAGGCTGGAGTGTGGTGGCGCGATCTCAGCTCACTGCAAATTCCGCCTCCCGGGTTCAAGCGATTGTCCTGCCTCAGCCTCCCGAGTAGCTGGGACTACAGGCATGCGCCACCACACCCGGCTAATTTTGTATTTTTAGTAGAGACGGGTTTCTCCGTGTTGGTCAGGCTAGTCTTGAATTCCTGACCTCAGGTAATCCTCCCACCTCAGCCTCCCAAAGTGTTGGGATTATAGGGGTGAGCCACTGTGCCCCGCTGGAATATCTTTTTATATCATTTTACTTTTAAACTATTTATGTCGTCTTTTTTTTGCAGAGACAGGATCTCACTCTGTCACCCAGGCTGGAGTGCAGTGGAGCGATCAGAGCTTACTGCAATCACCAACTCCTGGGCTCAAGTGATCCTCTTGCCTCAGCCTCCCAAAGAGCTGAGATTACAGGTGCATGCCACCGTGCCTGGCCCTATTTGTGTCTTTGAATCTTAAGTGTGTCTCTTGCAAGCAGCATATAGTAGTTGGTTCATGTTTTTAGGTTTGTTTTTTATCTATTCTGCCAATCTCTGCTTTTTTTGTGTGATAAAATACACATAATATTAAAGTATAAAAATATAAAAATATTTTAGTATTGGCCAGGTGCAGTGGCTCATGCCTATAATCTCAGCACTTTGGGAAGCCAAGATGGGTGGATCACGAGGTCAGGAGATCAAGACCATCCTGGCCAACATGGTGACACCACGTCTCAACTAAAAACACAAAAATTAGCTGGGTGTGGTGGCGGGCACCTATAGTCCCAGCTACTCAGGAGGCTGAGGCAGGAGAACTGCTTGAACCTGGGAGGCAGAGGTTGCAGTGAGCCAAGAC